TGGAGATGAAGTGGTGGTGGAGCTTGCAGAAAATGGCAAGAAGGCGGTGGTCAACAAGGATGACATCCAGAAAATGAATCCGCCCAAGTTCACCAAAGTAGAAGACATGGCTGAACTTACTTGCTTGAACGAGGCGTCGGTGCTTCACAATCTCAAAGACCGATACTACTCGGGCCTCATCTATGTAAGTATGAACATCACAAATATATTTGTGTAGGAGTTTGTGTAATCAGTGTCACTACAACATCGTATCTACACAGCGTTAATGTTTATTCATTCCTTACCTACAGGATAAATATAAATAATAAATGGACAAATAAATGGGTATTTTAACGGTAGTGTTCACTCGCTGTCAGGGATATTAAGATCATGTGCTTCCTGAGCATCTTCTTTTTGAAACTGGACTCTCTGGGGTCCACCCAGGACTTCTTTGAAGGATTATATAGTTTTTTTTTAATAAACACAGGATTGCAACTTTGTTCTCATCTGAAACAAAGCTGTGATAAAACCTATTTTATAAATTCACTGACAGGTTTTCAATTAAGAGATGACTCACAGGCGGTATTTTTTTCATCTTACTAAATCATTGAATGTTTTTGTTCAACTGAAATACATTTATCCATATATTTTCAATGCTTGTGAAATTTCAATATTTTCCCATGTAATTATTGAAATTTTAATAATTCCCCATATGATATGACGCATTTAAAACTTCTATTATTGCGAAATTCGGTGGAAAGAAACATACCTCAGACCGGTACCTTTTTTATAATATACCATAAAACAACTAAATATTTCTCCCATTCCTTCTAATATACTTATTTTTCTAACTCCTTATCATTTTAGACGTTTTGAATTTAAGGTGTTTCTCCAGAAAAGCATAGACTGCTAATTTCCCCTGTGACTCTGACTCATTCCTGGAATAGCTAAGACCTGGAGCTTGTTAATCCTTTCCTGTCCATATACTTTAAATATTTTGTTGTTCTTTTGAAATTTTCACTTTAAAGATGTAATTTTTTTACGTATTATGGTTGCTATTATGAATCAACTTTTCTACCTAAACTCAATGTTCTCATCAAAGTTGTTTGTTTATTTGGTCAGCTGAAATAAGGCCAAATCAAGAAGATGATTTWTTTGTTTGTTTGTTTTGAAAATGGCTTCAAATCGAGTTAGAACTGATCCCAAGCCACGGGGAGGCCACTGCTGAGTCACATGGTAACCAAACCGCCATGACAGTGCTCTTTGTATTCTCTGATAAGCAACATCTGTCTGCTCAAGTAACTGAACTTTTTTATTTATTATTAAGTTTTGCTGTGAGAAACCTGWTGTTTAATTAACAAGCTAATTCCTGTTGGCTACTAGATGTTTTTAGGGTCAATGGTGTGCATATTTTTTAATTGAAGTCATTTTTGTGTCACTATATTAAATTTTAGATTTCACTTTTCTCAAAGGTAATATTAGGGCAAAATGAAGTTTGAACTAAATGCATGCTGATAAGTGATGGTCAGCTGGACAACCATTCATGACTCAKCACGTTTTTATGTTTTAATTTTGTTAAATAGGACAAACCCACCAAATAGGGCTGGGTGATATGACAAAAAAAA